CACATGCCATTGGTGCAAGGGAAAGAACAAAAAAAAAAAGAAAAGAAACAACCTGACAAATGGCGGAAAAGGCACCCGTTGAAACAGGCGCCTTGCTCGTTTCTGGAGACAGAAGGGGCCTGTTTCATCGGGCGCCAGCTCACGGGTGTAGTAATGACACAAGAAGTGGGGAGAACAAACAAAGCGCAAAAAAGAAAAAAAAAGAACTGTTGCAGTGGGGGTCGCTCCACTACTCTCCACATGCACAAAAGACAAAAATCATGGCGGTGTATCTTTCCATGTTCTACCGGAAGATTCACTCTCCAGTGACACAGCTGCTACACTTTTTTTTTTTCTTTTTTTTTTTTTAAGGCTAATTCTTTAAGCCCAACCAATTCAATTACCTGTCAAATCTGGACAGGACGGCCTTTCAGGTCTTTTTTTATTGTCATTATAGTAGTATTACGGGGAACCCCGTAGCAGCCACATCCGTGCTCAAGCCTCCAACGAGGGAACATGCGGGAGCTGCACCCACCAGCAGGTGTGATACCTGCTACAGCAGGTGGGCGATACCGGGCAGGGGTCAGCCGGTAGCATCAGGACCAAGCTTCTTCGATGGGCCAGTCACTGTGCCTCCCCTCCGGTCCCCTCCCCCTATGAACATCAGCAGTCTCTGCTCAATGCCACTCGGGGGGACCAACGGCATATCTCTGGGTGGCGGGCACCAACCCAGACCATCCTATCTTGGAGGATCCCCCTCAGACAGCACCTACTGCAGGTTCCCCAACGATTTCCTCCAGCAGAGTCTATCTACTAACACCCCTCCTACCGGGATCCCTTAAGACAATCCCCTACTGTAGGTTCCCCACCGATATCCTCCAGCAGAGCTTGTCCCAAGCCAACCCTCACCCCAAATGGGACCCCATCCCACCTAAGGTCCTTGCCCCCCCCAAAGCAGAGCCTAAGGCTCTTGCCCCCCCCAAAGCAGAGCCTAAGGTAACGAACACACATGAGCAGTCTAACCACAAACCCGTACCTGTATCCTCATTAGACTGCGAACTGTATCAGGCAAACCCCTCATAGGCCAGGACCCAACATACAACACCATGGACAGTCCCCTGGGTGGTGCGCAGGCAGTGTCTGTAATAGTACCATGCGTCAGCCCAGGGGAGTGTGTGTCCAGCCGTGCATCATTCTAACGCCCTGCCGGTGTCCATGCGCAAGGCTGCGGAGTTTTGAACCCGCAACCTCATACCACAATGCGCATTTCCAACCGGTGCTCTAACCACTGAGCTACATCAACTGGACTATGGGGATTGAACCCAAGACTTCCTGAATGCCACTTGCGTGCCTTACCAACTGAGCTAGGCCGCTGGATGAGAGCCTCGTTCCACTACTCACCAAATGTGCAAAATATATCCTGAATCTTTCACTTGAACATGGAAACATACATCACGATATGTTTTGTCTTTTGTGCATCTGACGAGTAGTGGAGCGTGACTGACTGCAGGTACACCAAAGGGCCTTGCTGCACTACTCTCAAATGTGCAAAATGAGACTGAATCCACCGGTAGAACATGGAAAGATACAGGGCCTCGCCGCACCACAGTTGAAAGGCGAAAAAATTTGACGGCTGTCAGAACAAATTTGACAGCCTCCATTCGACAGTTTGCCCCCCTTTAGCCACACAGCTCTGTAGAGTGCACGCACTTGTGAATGCAAGATGGAAAAAGACGAACGCGCCAGAGGGTACGACAAGCATTAGTCCATCCCCACCTTACCCCCCCTCACCGAATTTCGAAGAGAAGTCGACGGCACAGCCGAGGAGTGTCGAAAGCATGGGAGTAGCAGGCTGGGGATTGAACAACTTTCGACAGGAGCTGTCGAGAAGCATGCTCTGACAACTGGAGAATTTTTTTCCCGTCTCCGACTTCGACAGCCTGTGTGGCGAAGAGAAACTGTCGAAAATTGCATTTTCGACAGTGGTGCAGCGAGGACCGCATTGCCATCTTGTTTGTCTTTGGTGCATGTGGAGAGTAGTGCAGCGAGGCGCAAACCCTGTATGACTAGGACAACAATCACGTCCAGAGCTTAGTTGAAGAAAGTCCCTTTTCTCTTTTTGTTTTTTCTTGTATAGAATAGCTGTCTTCTCCTATCTTTTTTTTTTTCTTTTGTGTGTGTGTGTGTGTGTGTGTGTGTGTGTGTTCGTCTTCTCCTCATTGAGGAACAGCTGTGGTAGAAGAGGCCTAATGTGAGTATGCTTTTTTTTTTTTTTTTTTGTGAGTACGCTTTTGTTTTTCCGTTTTATAAGAGTAGAGGCTCTTTCTGACAGCACGTCTCCTTGTCGTGAGAGGCGGGGATAACGTGAATATGCCATTTTCTTTTATTTTTATTTTTTTGTGAGTATGCTTTTGTTTTTCCTTTTTATAAGAGTGCTCTTTCTGACAGCCTGCCTCCTTGCCGTGAGAGGCAGGAAGGAATCCATTCAGTCCTCAGGCATGCACTTCGTGAATGTATCTGACTGCAATTACAGCAACGGGGGGGGGTCCTGTAGAGTGAAAATGAGAAATAGACGGCCTCCTCTTTGTTCCTTCTGCTGATAGTATGTCCAGCACAGAGGGTGGTACTGGTACCACCCTGAATTTTCCCAGTGGTGGTATCCGTCACTTGCAGGCTCGGCAAATTTCAAATTTAGGCTCGTACATTTAGCCCCAGGTGTACTTGTGGTTTAAGAGGACAAAACTGGAATCAGCTATCAAGTTGTGGAACCTCTTGAGAATTTTTGTTTTTTGTTTTTTTTTCTCTTCCCAGAAAAAGTCCAGGTTGTTGTAGAGGCAGGATTTCTAGACATATGACAGGCACCTTCAGCACTTGGCCATGTGGTATTCGTATGGGGCTCTCTTCCAAAGTACCACTTTCGTAATTTCCCCCGGCGCACCTCTACTCCCACGATCCTACCTTAATGACTTCCACTGAGGACCATCACCTTACAGTCTGTTTTTTCAGACGGAGGTGACCTGACCGGACAGTGGTTGCAGATATTGGGACTAAGCAGAGGCCTCCTTACCTTACCCAATCCTAATCGAAGCATAGACGTACGAGCCTTGCCGCACGGGTACTTCCGGCGCTAGGTGTAATCATATCTTTACAGGTCCCATAGGTACATTGTTCTCTGAGTACATTGTTGTTATTACTGCGGATGAATAATGTGAGGTCACTTTGATGACGCTGGATGTCACAAAATTCGAAATGCTTTGTTTTTTCTCTCCTCCGAACTGTACATGCAACTTCCATTGCATACGGCTCTCCAAGTAAATCTTACAACGCCGTATTCCCCAATTAAGATTCAGAACTTCGCGTTAGCACCTTCTCTTCGGTCCTTTGATAGGGTCGAGTCCCATGGGTAATGGAAAGTGGAAAAGTTCTGTTATGTGATGGTAGAGAGAGCTGGGGATCCTCCGTTCCCTCGTAGTTCCTGCCCCGCAGTAAGGTGCAGTATCTCCTGACACCCCCGGCATCTCGTACTAAGGACTGCTATGCCAGCCCCAACTCCAAGCTACGTACTAGGAGGATAGCCAACCCTGAATCATGAATCCTCGTACTAAGGACTGCTNCCCTGAATCATGAATCCTCGTACTAAGGACTGCTATGCCAGCCCCAACTCCAAGCTACGTACTAGGAGGATAGCCAACCCTGAATCATGAATCCTGGATCAAATCTATTGAGCTATTGTATTGCTGCAGTATTCTGATGTGTGATGGTAGAGAGAGCTGGGGATCCTCCGTTCCCTCGTATTCCCTGGAGCCCGTTCCGGCCCCGCGGTAAGGTGCAGTATCTCCTGACACCCCCGACATCCTGTACTAAGGAACTGCTATGCCAGCCTCAACCCTAAGCTACTACTAGAGGATAGCCAGCCCTGAGTCGTGAATCATGGACCGAATCTATTGACCTGTGTTATAGTAATCTGTGAGAGCTAGGAATCCTCTGTTCTTTCGTATGTCCCTGGAGCCCGTTCCGGCTCCGCGGCACGTGCGACAACACCCCCGACATCCCGTACTAAGGACTGCTATGCCAGCCTCAACCCTAAGCTACGTACTAGGAGGATGACCAGCCCGAACTCATTATCTGGTATCGAACACAGGACCTCATGTGAGTTGTGCAAATGACCTGACCTATTGACCTACGCTGTGAAATAGTCTGTATATATGCTCTGCTGGGCTCAAGTAGTTCTGTCCCTTCAGAAGAACACGATGTTGTGCAGGCAGAAATTCTCCACTAGCGTAGATAATGTCACATTCGCCTTGTCTTTTGTAAAAAAAAAAAAAAAAGGTCACATTCCCTGCAAGTCACAGTTGGCATTCCAGCAGGCAAAGAAATAAGGTGGGTTAAATACCGAACCGATCCAATAAGGCTTCAAAATTGCCAGATTAGCCCTATCAGAATGTACGTGGACCAGAGAATTTTGTATTCAGAATTCAGCACCGCTGGCGGATGTCGAGGGAATCGAACGTGCAACGAGTTATCGCAATGTTTTGCAGCGCTATTGTTCACGCCGCACCGCCACACCATCATGCCGAGTAAAACCGCGTCACCGAGCGAGCCGCCCTCCGCGCTCGGACGCGGAGTGCTGTGCCATGTGGGTGTGTGGGCGTAGCCTAGCGCTTAGGTGTGCGACACATTCTCAAGTGTAGCTGCATCTGGGTGAGGAAAACTCTGGCAGTTATTGCACCGTTCACTCATCAGAACGGAAGGTGGGATGGCGCCCACATGATCTTGGATCCTCTTCGATTTGATAAAGAAGTGGGGCAAAGGATGCAACAAGACAAGGGAGATTCTGACAGAATCTTCCCACCTCCATGAATACCCTAAGTTTCTTGCGTACGGGGGAACTAAGAACCATGAGCTGCTACGGGAGGTAAGGACAGCGAAGGAGAGAGCTACAAGACAAAAAGATCCAACAATTTCTTTCAGGGACATCGGAGAGGAATAGGTGGAGGGCGAATACTATCCAGCCGTTCAGTGGGAACGGATGAACGGTGGGATAGGGCTCACAGGGAATGAATTCCTCTACGAGGAAGGTGAGGAGAGGACATATGAGGCGAGGGCCGAATGTTAAGATCCGCGGAACGGAGTCTCGAAGCTCTGACTATTCAGCAACGGTACGAGTCCTAACAAGGAGAGGAAGATTCTGCCCGTGAAAACTTGCAGTATCTTAACGAAGAATGGCCGTCCGATGTTAGCGCTGGTGGTGGGGCGTTAGCGCGGGCGGTGGTGGTGGCAGGGCCGCGGGAGGGTCCGGTCCGTGCCTTGCAGCACGACCGGACGAGCCATCGCGTCGTGAGAACCGGGGAAGTGCAAGGCACGGACCGGACGAGCCATCGCGTCGTGAGAACCGGGGAAGTGCTTTCGTTTTCGTCATTTTCAAGATATCCAAGATATCCCGGACGTATGAAGGGCGGTTTCTGGACCAGATCCAGAAGGGGTTGAAGGAGGTGTCTCTGACACCTGGAGGGGGGAGAGGACGCATAGGCACCCCTCGGCTGCCTACCACGTTTGCCGTGTCAGCCAACGCTGCTCGCTGCCTGATGTAGGGTGAGGCACCAGGCCAAGTCTGTACGTTCTGCTGGAGGAGCGAATTCTTGACATGGACGGGTTCGACAGCATCGAGCGGAAGGGATCTAAACTCGAAGTTTACGCCGCAGGGGCCGTGGACCCGTAGGAGTCAGGGAGGGGGATAACCTAAGGTTGAGGATGGATGAATATGAGAGGCGAAGGTAATACTCACACCTCACACCTCATATCTCTCAGGGACCCCAGCCCCCATCGAAGGATTCCTTGCGTCATGTCGTACCGACTGTGCCAGTAACATTGAAGCTTCGGAAAGTATGCGAGGTAGTATAGCTAGATATATATTATATTTCTGTTTCTATTTCTTCTGGTGTGTTTTTTGCAAAATGGCGCCCCCCTCGATCCCCTCCCGCCCTCCCCCCCGACCGATGCGGATAAGGAAAGAGGAAAAGACCTGCTAGGGGCTTGTTTTCTGGACGGGATCTTACCGCCCAGACTCGCCCCTGGCACGGTAACTTCGGGGGAGGATGACGTCAGAGTAGTGGTTAATTCTGACCTCTCTCGCCTTCAGGCTGAGTGGTTAGGAGAACACGCAGTGTCAATCTTCTTTGGTGATGAATCTTCCTCCCTCCCGCCTGACGTAAAGAACAGATTAGTTCGTATTTACGAAAATGGATGGGCTGCGTCAGGGGAAACAGGGGCACCTCCAAAGAGGGGGGTGTTCCGAAATGAGGGTCGGAACCTTGCAACTTATGTTGACTCTGCCAAACAGATCGCTGCGTGGATGTTGAGGAAAAGAGTGGATAAGATCGAACTGGATAACGTGGTTCACTCTGTTACATTTCGCCCATGGATGTCAGAGAGACAGTTGTCTGAATGGCGGGAGGCCATGCGTCAACAATTTTTTTGGATCCGTTGTCATGATGTCCCAGTCTCTGCACTAGGTCTCTTGAGGGGCGTAGTGGAGGACGCGTTCGGAACAGTAATCAAGGATTACCTGCCTTATAAGGACCACCTGTCGCCAGACTTGCGAAATGTGAGATTTGACTTGGCCCCGGTGGCCAAGCTCAGGTATAAGAAAAAGTTGATAGTAGACTTATCAGAATTTGGTCAAATGCACATTGATGTTACCTGCGCTGCGACCCCATGGTGCTGTGCGTGCAGAAAACACTTCCATAAGGAAGATGACGACTGCTGTCCAGCAAAAGAAGGGGGAAAAGGGGGAAAAGGGGGAAAAGGGGGAGGTAAAGGGAAGGAAACCTTGAAGGAAAAGGGGGACGAAGGAGGTAAGAAAGGGGATGGGGAGAAGGTGGATAAGGAAGGTAAGAAAGGGGAGGAGAAAGATCAAGGGGGGAAGAAGGATGGTGGAGGCAAGGAGGGGAAGGACAAGGCTCCAGCAGTCGTGGAGGTCAAGGAGAAAGGTGAAAAGGGAAAAGAAGACAGCATAGGGGGAGGAAGCAAAGGACAGACGAAGGGTTCTGTTGAAGCGCAGGGGGTGCTGCAGGGGAAGGAAGGGGCGACTAGTTCGGGAAGCAAGCTGGAACGAGTGAAGAAGATAAAAAAACCCATCCCCCCGAAAGAGAAGCCCCCCAGTCTTAACGAGAAAAACTCTTTCAGTAAGAAAGGGAGATGGCAGCCAAAGACCCCAACGRCTTTGGAGAAAGCCAATCCCGATGCCAAAACTTTACCCTTGGTATTTGGTGGTGACCATTTGAAATCAAAGGCTAAACAGAAGAAGCTGGACACAAAAATCCCCTTGCCCGTGGAGACATCGCCTCCTRTTCCACCTCCTCCGAGCGACCACCCTGGTCCGAGGGAGAAGGTAGTTGTGGTCRATACCGAGGAATTAAGCTCAGACTCAGACTCTGATGAACCGGAAGATCCGAAAGAAGGGCTGATAAGGAACAGGGAGAGGGGAGAAGGCCGGAACTCCAAGTCCACGGCAGTGACAGGGGCTAACGCCCCCCCATCTGAGGAGCTGGACTTCTCAGTCCCTGGCCTGATTAACGAAGGCCAAGTCCACTTTGACCCCGGGGTTGAAACGGACAAAGCATGTGCGGGGATTTCTTGTAAGAACGCCAGATCTAATGAGAATAAAACAGTTCCTACGGAGTACAAGCAATGGGGGCTCATACAGTCCTCCCCCAGGGGGGATTGAGCGCATCCACAAAGAAAAGGGGGCTACAGGCTAGAACAGCGAAGAAGACACTTTCCGATTCAGGGCCAATGGCCACGTTAACGATAGAGGATGCTGGTAAAGACTCTGTTTTCGAGATGGTGGTCCCAATGATTATCTCAGACTCACCTCAGGGGTTGATGGTTCTCACGCATAAAAATATAGACGAATCTCTGAGATTACCATCAATCCCCGTAGCTTCTTCGGTTTCCGAAGAACAGACAGTTGAACTGGTTCAAAGGGTAGTTCTGAACCAGCAGGGTACCTGTTCTGTCCTTTCGGAACCCAAGATGGGGCGGCATATTGCCACCCTAAAAGATGAAAAAAAGGTAATGTTGCATATTGCCCTCCTCTGTGTTAATTCAGTATCAGACACCTTCACAGCCTGGAACAAGGACAAGGTGCTCTGGTATCCGCTGCTGGACTTCGCTTTCAGGATAACTGAAGCGCTGTCAAATATAAGATTATGGTCTTCCTGTTCTGCGAGTGCAGTAGCAGATTGGATCCTCAGGGCTAATGCTGCCCCAATTCTCACTAATGCCAAATTTAAGGAGGCTKTCTGCGCTGCAGGTCAGATCCAGTCTCGATTAGCTGGAGGTGCTATTCCTCCGCTGCCCCCCCGCATCCAAGACCCGAGCGGCGATGCCCAGCCCCATGCCTCTGCCCAGTAGGGTACGAATGGTGAGCTGGAACATTAAAGGTCTGGGTGATACTTYTAATAGACATAAGAGARCACGTATTTCTGAGTGGGTTCACTCTGAAAATGTTCAAATATTATGTCTACAAGAAACGAAATTAGATCAGTCTAAAATACGGGAGGCACAACAGTGGTGGACCGGTCCTSAGTTCTGGGCCCCCGCACAGGGKTCCARGGGAGGAGTGRCARYTTTAATCCACAAAGATTTGGAYTGTACAGTGCTGGATCACTACGTAGACCCCGGGGGSCGTTGGGCCTGGGTCAAAATCAGAATAGAGAATGAAGATTGGGCGGTCATGTCGGTTTATGCCCCCAATGACTACATTAATAGAACGGAATTTTTTTCCAATCTGCCAGCCTGCATCCTGGACACTGAGAATCTTGCCATTCTTGGCTACTGGAATACCACCTTAAATCCGGGCTTGGACTCTCCAGATGCTTCTCCGTTAAGGGCCGATGCTTCAATGTTACTTTCTTTTTTGGAATCACAAAGTTTAATCGATGCTTATCGTATCATGAATCCGGATAACCATGGATATACTTGGTATGGCCCAAAGTCGGATGATAAGACACCAGAACCACGTAGATGCCTGGACTTTATAGCAGTAAGGGGCTCCTTGTGAGACCGCTGTATAATGGCTAACTACACTATTGCCTCCTACTCCGACCACTACCCGATGCTAGTCGATATTATCTCGAAGGAATTAGTCCAAACAGCCAGACCCCCTTTCCGCCTTAATGTGAACAATCTAAAGGATAAGGGGATCCCAGCCTGGGTCTCCACACAGATGGAGGGTTGGCTTGGGGCCAAGGATCTGTTTGAGACTATGGAGGGATGGGCAGAAGTGGGTATAGCAATTATCAGAGAAGCAATGGTAGTCTTCTCGCGCATGAAGGCTGCAAATCGCAGATGGCAGGAAATCAAATGCCAGAAAGAGATTCAAGAGGCCGACCGGGAGGCCGTCAATCCCGAGGCATTTGCCCAGGGCCATATTCCTGAC